CTTCTCTTCCACTTCTGACAATCACGTATCAGGGCCAAAACGTCTTGTGGCATCAAACATGTTTCATGAGTCTCTCTTCGATCCAATCGAGTTGCATTTCTGTCAACACAAACTTTAGTTTCCCAAGCTCAAGTCTGCTGGACTTGAATAAAGCGACTGGGCATGTTTCAAAGGCTTGTGTTATTCTTCCAGGAGGAAATGATACCAATCTTGATGATATTTACTACCTTTGGCTGCGATTTCCCCTCTACATTGGCGTTCTTCAACGAGATTCCACCAGGTGCCCAGTTTGCTGATGGGAAGGAAGACAACCTCAATCCACGCAGCATCGGACAGAGACTTTTTGGGAGGTGTGTCAACAGCATCGGACCCTCCATGGTCCCTACTGTCGTCCAACTCTCCGTGGACAAACCTGCGTGCTGTGGAAAGCACGCGCGCCAAGGCGCGCTGTCCACGTGGAAAGCGCCCACGTGGAAGCAGTGGAAGGTGCTGAGTGTGTCTTGAACAAGACCTTTGGATCCTAGAATACATCATATCCAAACGAAACAATGGACAACGAGAGAAGAGCACTGAGAAGAGCGGATTCTATCTACTGACTACTGAAGCTGCTGACACTAAGACCTCCTCACCAGCACCTCAGAAAAGTGAGATGTCTCTGCTTTTCGGGATGGAGTTTCAAATCAATGGACAGGTCAGTCGGATGACATCATGCCACTGTCTCACCGCGTGTCTCTTTGGTGGACACCTGAAAACACCTGGAAGCCAACATCTCAGCCTCATTTGCTCTTCTCCATGCTCTCCACCAGTTCACCCTGGCGCTTCATGGCTAAGATCTGCTGGAGCACGAAGAGCACGATCAAGACATAGCTCACCTCGGTCGATAGAGTCGATAGAACAAAAGACATGAAAAAAGAAGCTCTTCACCCAAACAAGTCCTCTTTCGCACCGTTGCGCACAGTGCAGAATCTGGAATTGCAAAACAAGCATGTTCAACAAGCATCTGAAAAGAATCACCAAGTCACTGGGTTCTTCTGCAAGTACTCCTTCACAACCCCGACAAGCTTCTCCACCTGCGGTGTCGCCATTGTGCCAATGGCCAAGCTAATGCCCATGATCACAGCACCCACGGATGTGCTTCTGATGAACTTGGCTGGTTGGAAGAAGTCACCAAAGGACTGCTTGCGGTCCGGTGGCTGCAAGCAGTAGCCGCGCAACTCGTTGCCTGGGGCTGATAGGACACATGCCGCCACGACAGTGGCGAACATGTTCACAACTCGGCCCATCATGGTGCCTGCAAAAGTGGGGTTCAAGTTGTTGAGGAAGACGGAAACCTTGTTGCGAGCAATGCCATAGATGATGTCCCGGAGCACAGTCGGTCCATAGGCCTGGTAGAGATTGCCTGGTGTCACTGGCAAGTTCATAGACTTGCGGAAGCGGTAGTTTGTGATAGGAAGACTGATGGTGCAAAACACGGATCCCAATGCAGCTCCCCTGGCCGTGGGAGGCAGGTCCACGCCCTGCATGATGATGTTAGTGGCCTCAAAGAAGGGAAACTTGATAAAGTTGGTAGCAAGGGTGGTCTGCAAGAACTTCTTGATCATCTCAGGATCCAAAAGCTTCAATGCCTCCATCAAAGAGACTCGCTTCACCAGCATGGCGTTCACTAGGGGCTCCGTTACAGCGCTCAGCGAAGCTGCCACCACAGCACCAACTGCTCCTTGGGAAGCGGCCCCAATCACTCGGCCCACAAAATCTTGCTGAGAAGCCATGGCTGTGGCTGACACTTCTCTTCCACTTCTGACAATCACGTATCAGGGCCAAAACGTCTTG